TTTTCGGCGCACACAAATAGTTGTGTCTCTTTGACGTTGCAATTCATGTTTTTTAAAATGTGACAACCAATTCTGCAAGCGTGTTTGCTCAACCAAAGCTCGTCGTGACTTCTCTTTCGCCAATTTAAAGCGTCGACGCACACGCTTCTCAACTTCCTTGCAAAGTTCTGGTGGCATGTCATCCAATTCGTTAAGTAGCCACTGCAAGTAATGTGATAAAATCGTTAAAAAATCAATTGTTAACCAACAAATGCTTCCCACCAAGAGATGCGCTTGGATTAGCTCAATTTTAGCTACTGTCGTATCTGGTTCATCACGGCAAGAACTTAAAGCCGACTCTGGTCGCGATTGTAAAGATTTTAAACTTTGATGCTCATCCTCCACTCCGTTTTCTATGCCATTAAACTGTGCTTGTGCCTTCTCTGGTTCCGTACTTTTCATTGCACTTCGTTGTAAGGTCTTCAAAATTATTGGTACTATGGCGTTGAGTTTCAAGGACAATTTGCTAAGAAAAAGTAAATTAATTCATACGTTTTATGCACAAGTCATTAATCAGCTTACTCCCGACTTTGTTTGTGCTCATATTTTACTAAAGTCTTCTCTGCCTGCAGTTTTAWTGCTGCAACACGTTCCGTCATAAAGTGAGGGTATTTAAGCATTGGCGGAATTTTGCAACGTGCTTGTGTCTTTTGCTGCAAAAGTTGGCGGCGTTAAACATGTAGTTCACTTATATTATAATTACTTGCACTTACGAATTTTTCATATACCAATGCAACAATATGATTTAAAAGCGCCAAATTTGTGTAACGCTTATAATAATTTGTAAGTTTGCTTCGGATCAGCTCAAACCCCTAAACACAAATACTGAATTAGTTAAAAAGTATTAATCATATTCCGTAGAGCATACCCTCAACCAAACATCCGCATTCAAATGATTCCTTTTAGCCAAATATGGGCGCACAACCGCAGCCATAAATTTTTTTACAACTTCAATTTGCTGCATGCCGGTGTCGCTTTCGTTTTGTAGTTTCAGTTCAGCTATCTCCTTAGGTAAAATTAGTCTGTCACCTKCAGCACCAACCGCTTCATCATCGATTTCATCAAAGTAACCCTATAAAGTAAAACCTTTGAAGTTATACACAATTTCACGTTATTTAATAGATTACAATTAATTTAAGTAGATATAAAAATCGTTGATACACTTCATGCGCCTCGACTAAAGCGCGCCTGTGTTCCTCCGTCACCGCTTTTAGCTCATCTGCTAAAGTGCATTTTTGTAATTCCTGATATTTTTCCAGCGAAGCTGTCATATCCTTAAAAGCGTTTGCTTCAATTGTCTCCAATGAATTATCTGTGGACTAAATTTATTTCTTTTATTCGTATAACTTTGTATTTAAATTTTTTTTAGTAGCATACTTCATAAAATTCCAGCAGTCCCTCATATTCGTCATCTTGTTGTTTTTTCTCGCGTTCTTTGTCCAAATACATTTGTTGAGTTGAGTATATCATAAATTTTTTACGTGTTATTTCACGTAACAATAATATATCGCTGCATAGATTAAAAAATATGTATAAGAAATTAATTTTGGTTAAATTTCTAGTATGTATGTATATATAATACAGTACGTTTTCATGCGAAATTTCCTAGCCAAACGTTGCGTACGTGCGTCCTTCACGTAGCTTGGATCGATAGTAGTTACAAGACAAGGCGCACGCGGATTGACCACACCGCCACGCTAAAGCAGAAAATCCATATAATTTAATTTTTTTTTTTTTTTTTTTTTGTTTTTTTTTTTGTTTTTTGTAATATCTACTTGTTTCTCTTGGCTTAGAGTAAAGTTACAATTTACATATTTTATCCAAACTTACCGCATCGAAATCGTTAATAGTTAAGTTTATGTGTGGAAAAGTGTCTGGATCACGTAAATCTTTCGCATCGTAAAAATCTAATAAGAAAATTTTCAAAAATTTCCTTAATGTCTACAAGAAAACTTGCAATATAATATATTTGCGTTTTTAATAATTTACCTTCATATTTTCGGTAGATTTTCTTTTTAACTCTTTTCATCTTTGCAAAACTTTTGCCTTCGCCAAAAATGTTTTATATTTCTGTCTACAAAAAAGTTATTTAATACGTTGCCAGGTTAGTTGTCAGATAAACATATTTGTTACTTACACTCAACAAAATTAATATATATAAAATAATCGTTTCTATGGTATTTATCTGCTATACATATGTATATATCAGCTCCTGACTAAAAATCGTACATAGTGTAGCTAAATAAACGTAGCACAGCGTACAGGGGTTAAATGTCACAATTAATAATTTAGTAACAATTCACAATTTTGATTTTATATAATAATATATAGTTTCTCTTTACTTTGCAGGATTCACCTTTGCAAGCAATGGCAGGATTTGAAAGTCTTTAATGATCATACAGCATTGGCCACAGGTGTGCGTTTCGGCAAACATGCACAATATCTGGCTTCAACAAGCATGGATCGTACATTAAAACTTTATGCCATTGAATAAAATAAAATTAATGTAAAACATGTGGCGTAGGAAAAGAGACATACAATTTCATTTATTTACATACAAAGTTTTAGATTCAAAAGTATCAATAAAATTTACTCAGTTAATTGATTCAGTAGAAAGCTGTATGCATAATGGCCAACATATACATACATAAGTGTAATTTAAACTGTATTTATCGTTTGTAATATTGAACGGCTTACAAAAATGTATGTAATTAATTTGTAATACGCCAATTCCATTTCATCTAATTATATCTACGTACATACAAATAACACATACAACATTTCTAGATTTTTCATTACTAATTTACTTTTATTTAAAGGCTTAATATATTATTATTCCACTATTTTAGCTTGATCAACACACGCATATACTGTAGATAAACGTTTATGTGTGTTTTATGTAGCTGCAATCTGTTTTAATGGTCCCTCTAGATAATTTGCCAATGCCATCGCCTTCTGTTTAAGTAAACCCAAACCGACCGTTTCCTTTGCATACAAACAAAGCAATATGCTCGCCACCTGAAATTATACCATTAATTAAATAATTACACTCAATACGCTCACTTACCTGAGTTATAGCCACATGCCCACATTCACAATCCAATAACACAAATGTTAGGCGATCTTCACGAAATGCATTGCGCCCATGTTTTTCGTACGCCGCCCAGATACTACTTGCGATTGCCGCAGTGACACGAGCATCCTTGTCTCCATAACCAGCGTAGGCAAGCAAAGCACCTTCCTGACTAAGTAATCTAAAATTGTATAAAATTTAAGATGTAATTTATAAATCTTGTGTCAAACCACAATATATGTTATGGCGATTAGGCGCTTATCAACTTGCAATGTATTCTCCACACCACCAGTGTTTGCCTGTGCAAGCACTTGAGTTAGGGCTTTTGGTTTTAACATATTTTTCGAAATTTGCACTTTTGAATATACGAATGTTGATAAAAACTTGTGAAAATATCTGCAATAAATAATTTGGAAAATAAATTGCAACTAAAAACAAAACAGCCGATAACAGTAATACCATCCACATTGGAACTTAGCTTAACCAGTGTTGTATTTCAAATTGGATTTTATTTTTTAAATATTTCATTTTCAATTAAAATTATTATTATATGATTTGATTTTAAAGTGAATAACTAATATTCCGTGAATCAAAATAAACCACTAAATGTGTACTACAACAATCCTGATTAAATTGTAATTGAAAAAAAATAGTAGCAGTTTACAATTAAAAATGAACATAACCTTTTATATGCATACACACATAGTACATTTGTTTACATATGCATATCTGTATAGATGTATATATTTTGTTTACATACATTCAAAGCATTTTGCTTAAATTGGTGACGTCATTCACCATTCTATATGTGCTTGTTTATTAAATGCAAAATAGATCACATATGWATGTATGTATGCACTTTGATACGTCGCATATTAAGCCAACAATAAAAACAACACAGCAATGTAACAATGTGCCACCACCAAAAATCAGCTGCTTCGAATACACAAGCTGCTTATCATGGCATTGTTTACGATTCCATGTAAAACGCATTGCCTCCCCTCTGACTTTTGGAAAACAAACTATCACGCAGTTCTTGCCGCTCGCATAAATTACGCATTGGTATTTTTTTTTTAACTTTGAACTCCAGCTTTGTTCCATTTTTGTTCTAAAAGCGATCATTGCAGTTGATCAATTTCATTCCCATCGAATGGGGAGGTTAATGAACTCTGAGAAAGGTCAATTCAACTTGGACACCCCAAATGATCGAGTACATGCAACAGGCACTGCAGGCTTCAATATGAATTAGTTACAGGGATAACAAATGTAAGGCAGATACATTCATGCAAACAATCTCCCACGATGACAACTCACATAYGTACATACATACATATGTGCATAAATACAAGACATATACATACATATGTATTTTATATCGTCCTTACCTCCTGCTATAAATAAACTCAATAAATTTAGCAGCCGAAAACGTTAAAAATACAATAAGCGTTGTTCTGAAAGTTTTTTTTATTGCAATCATATATTTACAATTAAAGATTAACTTTAGCTAAATATGTTTCATACATACTAAGACTAAATTTCTAGCATAGCCTTGGCAATAAACACATATGTGTGTACATATGTATGTAGCACAAAATAGATACATACATATGTACATATGCATATGCGCTTCATTACTTTTTTTTGTACATCTTTTTTAAGTATGTACACTTGTAACTGCTCGTTGTTCATTGTGTTTAAATTCTTTATCATTGATCTCATTATTCATAATTATTTGCAATGCTTTGTTGGCTCGAATTATTTGGCTGAAGCAAAAATTACATAATTACATAAATATTGCAGACTTGTTGAGTTTAAAACCAAATTTTGCGAAAAATTAGTTCGGAAGGTGTACCTCAAAAAACGCTGACTTTATGCAGTTAAAATTCGGTTATTATATTTATAAATTACATTACTTATTATTTGGAAAATCTAATGGCATATATACGTACATAYACGTGTAGGTTCATTATTAGCATAAAGCTATCAGACTCTGCTCGACCACTTATGAAATTGGGTGTTACTAACTTATTTTAAATTACATATGTATGTATATAAATACATCAGTATGTATGCTCGTGTGCGTATGCAAAAGGAGTTGTGGCCCAATCTAATAGTGAGTATTGATGTTAATGTTGTGAAGTTCTATGATATCCGATATACATATGTATGTATGTATGTATGACTAGCTTTGAAAGCGTGTTTCTTACTTTTCTCAAAAAGAAAAAATAACATATCTACTGTAGTTGTTAGAGCGCCAGAAATATATTAAATTTTATATGATATTATTTTTTGCATTAGAAAGAAAGTTTGAAAGATGGGGCACACTAAGTTATGTTCACTGTTATTTTCGATGTACACGATACATAAGCATTAGGTTTTCCATTTATAAATATAATTATTTTGTTTATATATTATTTTCTTCGCTTTTCGCATTACTACTGTTAATTGTTTATTCAATACTAATGCGTTAATGGCCAAATGTTCCTACGGAGTAAAAAATAATAGTTATTATCACTGTTAATTAAACGTCGCGTTTTTTTAGTTCTATTCAATTCTTTAATAATCATTTGGTTTTGGTAGAATACCACAAGCGATGAGCGAAGCGTAGTGGTATACCCATTTTAAGTAGCTGTGTGTGACCATACGCTTTAAGATTTGGCTTATAATGCAACACAGCCTCCCAGCAAATTTCGCTTAACTTTGGTATGGTCATCCACATTTTGTAGAGATCATTGCACCGACGTATACGCTTAATATCATATTCAATTCCGCCGAATATGTACATACAACCGTTTTGGCTATGAGCTGCTGCGTGGAAGTACAATGGTTTTGGTAGCGCCGCTGTTTGTATTAATGTCCATTGTTTAGTTGTAAAATTTAATTTCCATATATCAGCGAAATATACTTGATCAGACTGCAAAAATTTAAAATTATCAGAAAACATATGAAATGTACATATACACAATTCTCACTATAACTACTTACCTGTAAGCCACCTGTTATGAAAGCTTCGACATCGCCATTAGATGTGGTATGCTGGACGCAGGAAAAGCACTTTCTTGGTTTTGGGTACCCAGAACTCGGTCGCGTACCTTGTTGATTTGGTTGTGATGATCTATCGGGTACGGTGTCAAAATATTCCCACCGATTCGTTTCCAAATTAAATGCAGGAATCCGTTCCAAATCGTATACTAAATTTGAAGTGCCACCCCCGAGCACATAGATATACTGACCATCGTAGACCACTTCATGTCGATAACGACCCTCCGGATCTTCGCGTATATATGGTCGACATATATAAACGCATTCCCACACGCGTGTGCGTAAATTTAGACGATGCACATCACAAGAGTAATCATAGCCAGTTGTTCCACCGATTGTATATAAATAATGTTCGTGTAAGACAATGCCCGGACCATACTGTGGTGTTGGCGCATCACCAGTAGCCTCAATACGCATAACACTGGGTTTATCAACTTGTGTTTGATAAATATAGCAGTCATTTGAGCAAGATTCGCCGAAGGGATATCCAGTCCCACCGTAAGACTAAAGGAAAATATATAATAGAAATATTATTATAAAATATTAGAATATAATATAAAGACAATGATTGTTATATAAATAATTTTAAAAATTAAAAACTAAACGTACTTATGTAAGTGAATGTTATGCTAGCATGCAAATAACTCTGTGTGTGAATATTATATATATATCAGACATACATATATGTATGTACATACAATCGTGATATCTGATACGAGATAATTTTAGTTCTTAACCTTATCTAATATTTACTTACGATTAATAAATTATTACTAATGATAAGTGCATTTGATGCCAACTCCCCTGGCATATTTCGATTCGTTGAAGGATTGTGCAACAGCACCCAACGTTTAGTTGCCAAATTAAAACGCCATAGCTCTTGAAAAAGCATGCCACTGCCATGTATGGCTGCATTGCTATTGCTTGGATTGTAACCACCTAATGTATAGAGATGTGATTCGGAAGCGACAACACGATGACCACTTCGCGCGAAGGGATAGTCTCTTGGTGCACAATGCTTTTTATAATTACACTTCATTAAACGTTGAGGTTTAAAAGTATATATGGGTTTATTAGGCATGCGAATTCTTTGATTAGAAAATTTACTACTGCCAACTTCACTTTCGCTTTCCGAATTGGTTGAAGAATCACCACCATAACCAGGTATATAATTATCAGATGCGTCGTCGCTATCCATTTCAACAAAATAGTCGGAATCTGTGTCGCTAGACATGTCCGACGCATCATCATCGTCATTCTCTTCATCAACATCTTCGTCGTCTTCGTCATCAACATCATATCCCAAACCCATCACGGGTTCCTCATCATCTTCATCCATAGGTYCTCCTGGTACGTGTTCCATATGATCACGTTGTTCGCCACCTTCGCCGTCCATTGCAACGAAAAAGAGTGTTGAAAAAGGTATGCTCCGTAAAATAGAAATAAAATTCCTTTCAAGGACAGCTATCAAATTCCAGGCGTGTAGCAAATTATTCAATAAATTTAACAAAGCTAGCGCAGCAAATCTTCTTATTCTCATTACAGTTCCGAAGTTTGATTTTTTTTAATTTTTTATTACTTAAATTTCACATACGCAGGTTTTCCATCACAATTACAATATTATAGTTTAGAAGTGCACTTGAACAATTGATGGTGAAACCACATTGAAATTTCAGCAATTGGATTTTTGTTTGTTGCCGCGCACAGCTGGTGGTGAAGGTCGAAACAATGTTGCTATCAAAACACAATTTCTATCGGAGGATACTATATTTAATTTGTCAAATTTAGTGTTTAATCGGCTCGAAATTTTCAATTGCATGTATTGACCTTGTTAGRCACTTGATTTTTTCTTAATTATATGTTAATTTTTACACGTTCGATTCTACGTTCAATATTTTTTTTTGGGATTTATGCAAGAGCGCAACAACATTACTTCCTCATCAATCAGCTGACAATTAGCGTCCACTGCTCCCCATACAATCATTCGCAACAGCTGTCAAATGAAATTCAAACGACACTTTGTATACACTCCGTATCATTCTGATTACGCAGTTTCAAATCTACACCGCCTTTATTACTTTTGTACCGAATTTTTGCTTGACTTAGATAATATTTCATAAAATACATTTAATTTCGGTATTTAACTTTCGCATATAATTTGTTTCACCACGTTTTTACTTAATTATGTGTTTACACGTCACACACTTTCAAATTTCTCTTACCAAATGAATTTCGAACAATTGCGAATAACCTGTTTACTGTTCATCGTAAATAATTCAGTAAGGAAACAACGGGCGATACCTAAATTAGTTGTGAACTATTTATCTGATTGAAATATTCCTTTATATCCATATTATATACAAAAMTTTGGAATTTTACATATTAGTAAGTAATTGAAAACACACAAATCTATAAGATAGCATAGATTCACAAAATATTTAGTCATCTACATTTCGTATGTATATAAAAATTTTCTGATGGTCCGACAACACAGTGTTTCGTTTCGCATAATTTTGCCACAATCTTGATATTCTATGGTTAATAATTTTACTAATTCAATTTGAAAAATTAATATAATTTTTGTAATTTTAATGGGCATACAAAATAAATTTAAATTCTTAATTTATTTCTTTGCTGGTTACTAGTTGGCACACAATTATTTTGTCGTGTTCTTGACAATTTCGCAGTTGTTACCATCTGGCATCTTTGCATCGAATTACATAAAAAGGGGGGCTTTTCGACCATGTTCTCTCAGTCATTTTAGTGATTTGGCTCCAGCAAATTTATATTTCGTGTTTAAGCGTGAATAAATCTTTCGGTCTTTCCATGTGTCTGCGAATGTGAAATTAAACATTTTTTTATTACGCAAATACCGTGTAAACTTTCCGAAGATGTTCAAACACAAACAGGATAGACGTAAACTCTGATATTCGGCCCATATCTGGTCGTTGCTTCATTGTTCATTGAAGGCGAACGTACCCCGCGTGTGAACTGATATTTCAGTTTTTCACTTTGGCGGAAGCGGAAAAATCCCCACTGCACACAGTTCAATGCTAGAATTCATCAAGTTCAACTTAGAACTGAAACAACAACACTTTGCCAAAGTAAACGGTTTCGATTATAAATATAAAAAATCTTTTAACGACAAGAAAATCCATTTTAAGAAAATTGACAAGACATAATATACGCCAAAGGAAATATCGTATAAAGAACACCAACTCAGAATTCATTAGCGTCAATCTATATCTGCGCTCTGCCTATACGCATATTACATATATCAGACGGGGTGAATTAATCAGCTGTCAAAAACAAGTAAAAGTGCAACGAGAATTATTGAGTGAGTCAATCTTCTGTAAGTTGGTCAAAATGGAGTGCAAGGACGAAACAACGGGAAATGTCAATGACAAACAAACAAAGGAACAGTCCAAACAACAGGACATTGAAAAGAAAATGGAAGAACAAAAACAACAACCCGAAAAGACATCGCCAAAGTTAAATCCACGAGCTGGCTTGAAGCTGGCCAAAACAAATGGTGCCTCCAAAAAACGTGTTTATAAAGTTGTGCTAACAGGCGGTAAGTACGCTCAATATACCTAATTATATTTTTTTGAAAGAAATCTGTCCTTAAGCTAGAAATATTTGTACGACGAGTTTGCAAGTAATAATTTGGAGTCAGTGTGTAAAGAAATATGTAGCTTACTAAGCTTTAGTTGAATTGTGGATAAACTTTATCATATGTTATGTTTCTCTTGATTATCCTTKCTTTTGTGGCTAAAATGTCCATTATAACTTTATGCCAACCGGCGTTGCTGGGGTTTTTGGTTATCGAAGACAATAAATGCATCTACWCGTGTTCATATTCCAAAACAGATACTAGGAACCTGCTATTTCTTCAGTTTATTAACACCAGTTTTATGAAATTTCAGGGAGGTATCAGTTTTCATTTGCATATGTGTACTCATATAATAGAAACCACACTTGACATATAATTTTTTTTTTTTTTTTTTTTTTGTATTTCATGGCTGAGATAATATACTATACTTGAAAATTTGTAGAAATCTCAGAGTATGCATGCACGAAAGTACAACGGACTATATACAAACATTTGCCAAAAGTCAATTTCGTGATATGTATAAGTGCTTCCACTAGCACATTCATTGTTCAGCTTGCTTCTGCGTCAAATCTATTTAAAAAMCGTCTTATACGATCAGCTATAGACTTATATATTAGCATACATGTGTACGAGTAGACAGTGATGTGAAAGAATGAAAGAAATTAGTTCAAACACCGGCTAATGTTCCAGTATACTTGTGCATATGTTGAATTAAAAATGTAAACGTTTCAATTTATGTTTTTAGTTGTTTTATATTGTGTGCAGCTAATTTAAAAGAAATATATGTACATATGTCTTTCTAGTATATACTTTATAGTCGAATAATTTGCAACTATAATATTTATGTAAATAGATATGTACGTATCATATATACATACATATATACCAACATCTAAGCAATTTCATCTGGATAACCGTCATGAATGTGTATTTTGTAGCTCATACAGCTAATTTAATTAATTATTGCAATAAATGGTGTAACATTAACACCGGTTTAAATACGACACGCCTAGCTGTTATTTTGTTATTGTTGCTCTTATCACTAAAAGCTATCTCCATACGAAAACTATAGTGTGGTGGAAATCTCGCTAAGCGAAGTAAAAAAAATACAAAAAAGTGAAATACCCATTTGCATTGTTTAAAATTTATTTTAGTAATGCTTTAACGATTACTAGTTGTTTCAAAGAACGAAAAAAATTTTCGTTAATGCCACTACTTTTACAGGTGGTTTTGTAAGCCTATTGGTTAAAATTTAATTTTTAAATGATTTTGAATTACTTTAAGTTTACTTTTTGTTTGGTGTTCTTTCATTATTTATTTCAAAGCACTTTCAATGAATGACATTAGTTAATGGAAAWTTCGTAGATTAATTTTGTTATCTTATCAAACCAAAAAGTATTTGAAAGACATATTATATGATATGGTATCAATACGTTCACGTTTTGTTTTGTTTGTTATTACAAAACAATCAAATAGTAATCACATTTGTCCAAATAATAACATACTATACTTATGTTTTTTACAACTTCTGATTGTTTTTATTTTATACCAGTGGGACAAGTAATTTTCTTTGTTTGTGGGGCRTTCATAAACTGCTTCGTTTATTTCGCTTTGAATATATTTTGCGTWTATTCTATTATATAATAAATTTTGTTAAATTCAATTCCAACTAGTTTACTACTACATACAGGTTTACAATGTATATGTATCCAAACCATTTTATTTGTTTATGCCACTATCTGGTTTACGCCACTTGGCCAGTTGTTGAAAGTGGTTATGTCGAAAGCCATTAACTGCTTAACAATTGTTATTGACCGTTAGTTATGGTTCTTTGYAAATATGCCCATTGACCGTTATATAGTTCATTCAATTGAAAAACAATTGCAATGTTTGCTACATATTCTATGTATGCACTAGACATTATCATATTGACAAGCATGCSTTCTTGCAATCACATTTACAAATGCATATTTATTGTGCATATGGGAGCAATTTCCATTTCAATCAAATTCAATTTAAAACCAATCGCTTAGTCACAATCACGAAAGTTCTCAAGTGTATAGGTAGATGTATAAAAAATACGTGCATATATACTTAATATGTGCAAATGCACATACGACTTCCTACTGCGATATTTTGCGAATTTTCAATCAATTTCTATTTTTATTGATTAATATTTTATTTATTTGTTTCTCACATTCTAAATAAAACAACCCTTAGCGTCATTACACCTAGTTTTTATTTTTCATATTTATAGAATAATACTGAGAATCTACACTACATCTACATTTTTGTATGCTCCAGTGGGCCTGTCCGTATCGATAACTGTCGAAGTCATAGCATATAATGGGCGTGTAATCAGGCAGAAGCTGTGTGTTGATTGTGATCTGTTGTTGTTTTTGTTATTTTCTCAAGGTCAGCATGATGCCTTCCGTTTTCTTTTGTGCCCATATGTACATTTGTATATACTATACAATCTGAATTACTTCTTGGAGGCAAGACCTTCATTTGCTTGACAATTCCCTCATTGCACATTTGAACTTGAAAATTGAAGATAGGGTAGTATTTTTAGCGGTTATCGTATAAGCCAAGCATTTACAGTTTGTTTACTTATTCACCTGCCATACAGCATTCGGTCATTTGTGTGAGTATCACTAAGTAGTGGGGGAGGGGGTGTTGAATTGTGTAATTGCATTTGAACAGCAGAAGATTTCTATTTTTAAATGCGTATTGCATACAACCACAAAATTATAATATGTAGATATATAGTATGGATATTGTTTGTGTATTTCGCTAAATCATATGGTTTTATAAATATTTAAAATACATCCATTTATGTATTTATTATTCTTTCTTTGCAGGTCCATGTGGTGGCAAAACAACTGGCCAATCACGTCTGTGCACGTTCTTTGAAAATTTAGGATGGAAGGTATGTTCAATATTAGATGAATTAAGGGAATTCACAAGGTGTATTCGTTTCTTTTTTTGTTTCTCACTAAGTCCCCACTACTTACCAACTGAAATTGATTCTAATTTCTGTATATATTCTAATATCTAATGTATACTAAACAATATAGTCAGTTCTTAATTACTAAAGTTATTATTGGAGGAAGTTTCATACGAATTAAAGCAAACGCAGCATTTTAATTAATTTTGTTTGTGCAAATATGATATTTCATTTCGAAATAGTTTGCGCATATTCATAGCTGCATAAATTTGTAGTATAAATACTAATCTTCTTCATCACGAAGATTACGTACATCGTTCTGACTAGTTCACATTTGCCTTTTTACTTCACTGCGACTCTCAGTTGAATCTCAACAAGTACATTTCCTACTTGAGAAAAGTGTTCTTAAATACAAAAGCACCACTCACTGCTAAAAATGACAGCGTTTTTTTGTAAACATCTATGAATATGCGCCAATAAAACAATAGACATACATA